TATTATTTAACTGTGTTAACTTGTTTTTGTAACTTTTGCGCCGTCCATATCGTTACATAAAACTCAAAATACAGCGTGTGTTTTTTGAATACACATATAAAATAAAACTGTAAAAAAGAATAATACTTTGTTACTCTACATGTAATTTAAATTTTTGGTCCCGTTTAAAAACTTTATTCAGTAGAATTTTTGTGTAATTACTGTGTTCTTTTTTTATATACTGGTGTCATAATTTATATTGAGAACTATTCATGTCTTCGGCAAGGAGTGACATTTTCGCGAGGTTTTTTCCTGAAATTGTAAAAATTAATAACAGGAGCGCCTCTGCCCTCGACGACCCCCCAAATATAAGATAATTTTTCCGCCCGCTTTCCCGTGGAAAAATTTAATATCGCGTTAATCCCCTCGAAGCTTAAAAGACGGATGATTGCGAAATATTTTCAAGAGGTGCTCGTGTCGTCGGAAAATTGCGTCTTTTTTTCCCGAGAAAAATCCCTCATCATCGAGTCTTATTAAATACTTGAAATTACTTGTATTGTTTGTCGTTTTCTGCGTTGCAATTACTTCCGTGCCGACTGTACGGAAAGCGAAAGACTATTAGATTCTGGGTAAATTCAATTTGGAGGCTTTTCCGTCGCACTCCGTCTCACTCCAGCGTCGGAATGCCGGTACTTTTCCGGCAAAGTGGCGGCTTTTTCGTGGTGTTAAAAATAATCAATTCGGTCCGTTCGGTGGAGGAACGGTGTTGATTTGTGATGGTGGAAGGAAGGGTGTCCATCCACTTTGGTCCCTCGGGGGCGAAAGGGGTGAGTGAATCGCATGGTTCGCATCCAGTCTAGTGCCAGGCTCCGGGGTGGTAGAGATGGGACATGCGCGCCTCGCTATCGTCATGGCGGCCACGATACGGCACGCTCGCTCCTACTCTACACAACCTATTTTCCACGAACAATTTCCCGCAGTGATTTAGTGACGACCGGGGGCCGAGAATACTTTTCGTCGGCGAAATGCCGGATCTCTCGAGGAGTCCGTTGTGTTCCGGTGAAGAGCTCGCGTTCGTCCGGCCGTCCGCGTAGTTAGTTGTTTTGATTGCTTTTTTTTTGTCTTGTATGTTCCATTGACATTTGATTATGTTGTTCCTGTGGGGGAAAGGACACAGTGCTTGTGTATTTGTGTCGTGGTGGGGAGAGTGTCCGAAGTCCGATAGAAGCGAGGACCGGGAGTATATTCTTGCATTATAAATGCGGACTTGTTGAGGGTGCGAAACGTCGATTAAGGTCTTTTTAATCATGTTAATTGACGCGGGTCGTACGAGTGTGGTGCAATGAGTGCCGCACGCAATCGCCAAAATGGCGCGGGCCGGGGGAGGGAGCCGTCCACGTTGCCCCTTTAGGAAACCGCCCCCCGAATAACACTTGTCCCGTCTGGAAGAAGACATGTAGTTAGTACAAGACCGGTGCGACATTTTGTCCGATCCCGGCCGAGTCCGATCAATATACTGTTGCTCTGCACGCCGGAAAATTTTTCGATGGGTGCGATACGGACGATTCGCACTTTATAATGCTGACATTGTTATTTCTGTTATGGTCCCTGATTCGCGGTATCAGAAAACCTTCCTCTCAAACCCCCACCCCCGCGCCGCCCTCGCCGCCTCCCGAGTCGCCCTCCCCCGAGCCGCTCGACTTCCACAGCGAGCTGTCGCTGTCCACGCGAATGTCCACGACGGAGAGCTACCGTTCGCGGTACTCGCCCTTCTCGAGGGAGTCGTCCGTGGACGTCGGCAACGAGAGCCGCCACTCCGTCACGAGCATATCCTCGTTCTCGACGTCGTCGCGGCGCTACGAGATCATCGGCCAGAGGTCGGTCGACTCGAGGGCAAGCGTGACGAGCCTCTGGTCGTCCGACATGTCGAGGAGGGACTCGGAGGCCATCCCGGAGCACGAGGTGGACTCGACCGATTCGAGGGCGTCGTTCGCCTCGGCTGGAAGTGCCATGTCGTCGGACGCTTCGAGGCGGCACTCCGAAGGCCTGGGCCGGCGGAGGCGGTCTTCGGTGAGATCGTCGCAAGTTAGGAGGCACACTAGGAGGTTTCCTTTAACTTATGATAGGCGGAGAACTACTGGGAGGTTTGTATGAGGAAGGCCCGGACACGTACAGGCCTCACAAGTGGTTGCCGACAAGGAAGGGCTTGCACTCATCATCTTTCAGATAGGCTGCGCTCTAAGGCGCCGTCGACGCTCGTTAGCGAATCATCTTTTTTGAGTTGATGGGCTTATTCGATCGTTCCATTTAGTTGTATGTACAGACAGAACGAATAAATGACATTAGAGTTCTTTGTTTTGTTAAACTTTTACTGCTTTTAGAGTAGACAGATTTAGGTCGAGTAGATTTAGAGATACCTAGTTACAGTTAAATTTTTCGTTAAACGCTAATTAGATATCGAGCGATCAACGAAAAGCTAGTTTCGTTCGGTATTACCACAGTCTCATTATGACTAACACTAAACAAGAATTGCACGACCAGAAAGTAACTCCTTTGTTTTCGATGAAAATGGTCTTTTTTCGATCTTTCTATTAAATATGGGGTTTAGACATAGGCTTGCATTCCACATAAAAAGGCTGAAAGGACGTATTGCCATAACAACATAGCAGAAAATTACTTTTTTCGAAAACTGTCATTAAATGTTGACATTTTCGTTAAATTTTTAGTGGGCAAATTGCTTCTTTTGTGTCACCGCGAAACACTTTTTCGTTCTAGAACGTCAGACGTTCTACCACGAATAAGAACGTAAAATAACTGATTTTTATTGTTTGCTACGTTGTTATGGATCGTTTTGATTCAAAAATTTACTTGATTTCATTTCTTTGCTTTGATTTTATTGGATTCTCGTGATTCTTTTTTGAGTTTCCACTCATGTGGAGCTGCGCAGTTTGCGAGAAAAACGTTGTTTGATACTCGATTGCGAAATTCATTTGCATTTTCGAATGTTTTTTTGCTCGCGATGCTCGCAAAAAAAAACGTATTCTCGAATGCAAATGTAGCATTTCACAATCTATGAAAGACATTTTCTCCAAAAAAGTCCAAAGCATAAAAATTATTTATTGACATTTGAGTTACAGGTGTGAATAGGAACTGCTGCACCACCACTGTATTTCAAAACATTTTCAAAACAGATATCTTAAAAACATTGTATACCTATGTGTATTATTTGTCAATAACTAAAACACTAGAAAAAAGACACATATTCCATGCCCATTGATTTATTACCGGTTAAACTAAGACATTTTATGTAAGGAATCTTCACATCTTTAGCTGCTTTCGTCGATCTGCATAAAAGTGCCAACGCAACAAGATCGAAAGCCGAAACTGTGTTTACATGTCAATGAATTAGAGAACGATTAATTATCTATTTGACATGAGCCGTCAGTGATTACAATGACAAGCTACCGACGTAAATTTGACGTTAATTTTTCTTTTGGTACATCAGTTTTTTCGAAAAATAAAGGGAGCGGTTACTCTATACAGGGTAATTCAAATTTACAAATCCATAATTTTAAAGTCTGAAAGGTGTCATATACTAATCTATTTTGCCTGTTTTTTTACAAAGCAAAAATCACTGTGAACCGAAAACGTTAATAACTTAAAAAAAGACGTAAAGCAACAAATACAAGGATTTAATCGTCAAGCACTGCGTGATTAATGCAAGAATGAAAACGGCAGTCTTTCATTGTGAACCATATAACCGGGAGGCTTCACGATATACTGAAAAATGTTGCCGTTTTGTTTTCGTTACGGCCTACATTTGCTGCATTTTTTCTTGTTCACTCGATATTTAGCGTGCACCGAATGTGCTTTATCTTTCGCTGTCGTCTATCTGTCTCAAATCACTTCAGATAGCCAAGTGCATGGATTTAATTTTAGATTTGGCTTTTTCTTCGATATTATCGCCGGATATCTGGATTTGTACAAATATACCATGTTTTCGAAAGCATTAAGACGAATCGATAACGAACCGATTGCTAAACCAAACATAAAACTATATAGTACCATTAGATTATCATTTATGCCTTTATTCTTTTGTTTGCTCATCATTCCGATTGCTGAATTGTTTTTATTGCAGTCGGCAATTTTAGTGAGTCAGTATTTAGTCACTTTTTGCAAACACCACGACACTGTGAGGCCTGAGTAGCATCAGTCAAACTTCGCACGAGTTCTCGTTCCATTGCCACTACAAAAAAAATCAGATCACTGAAGGGCAACACCCTTATCAGGCACTCCCACTTCACCGGTCCATTGTTTCGAAAGGTTATCAGTGATTGATCGGAATACTTATTAAATAGTCCTACCGTGGTCGTACTCGAGCGTACCCGGAGGGTAATATCGCTAGGAAACGCGTAAATCGTCGCCGTCTTATCTTTATTAATAGCCAATTAATCACCATTTAATTGCATCTCGTAAAGTTCGTGATCTTGGAACGCCCGGTCCGATATTGCGTCCCCGTTCGGTCGCCTTTCCTAAATTTTTACAAAAGCCACCCGATCCTGTGACGGCGGCCTCCACTATTGTCACCTCTGGTTCCGTGCAACGTCCGCGTCTCTGCTACAATTCTGTCAGGTCATATAATCTTCAGATTATGTCGTTTTTATCTTATCTTAATAACCAATTTATTTGCAGTTAATAGAGACAGTAATGTTGGTAATTGTGTTGAATGTGGCCTGTAAATGTTCACCACCGCGATGCCCATCAGTATACCGTTCCGAAACCCCATGAAGGTCCCCCGGAGGAACTCGGACTTTATCCTGGGCCGTACCGGTCATATAATCTTGAGGTTGGGAACAAAAAAACTCGAAAATCCCCCGACACCGCGGGGTGTGCTTGCGTCAATCCTACGTCATTCGGCAGATTTGCATAAAAATTGCGATCGCGGGCGAGGGAGGGGGTGCCGAAAAATTAATTTACTCCCAAGGGCGTTCCGCATGGTAATGTGTTTGTTTTGCTTGCAGTTTCGACGTTGAAAATGGGGCGAGTCCCGGGAGGAGTCCTCTCGACGGGGCAGCATCCCCCTCAGCCGGTTTGGTCCTCCAAAATCTCCCACAAAGGAGGGAGAGCTTCTTGTACAGATCCGATAGCGACTTCGAGATGTCTCCGAAATCTATGTCTAGGAACTCGTCGATCGCGAGCGAAAGGTAAGCTTACCTCGATTACAAAACGCTTTGTTTTTGAGTTTTCGTGAAACAGAGAACGAGAGCGCGCCTCGTCAAGTTACAGGAAACTGTAATCCCCTGGGAAGTGCGGCCATCTGTCGCCGTCTAGCCGAAATTCGCCGGTAATTCAGCAAACGTGTCGACAATCAATAAGTTTTGAGCAGATGCTAATGTCAATCTTTCACTTTGGTCGCTTCACGCACTCACTTCTCTCATCAATCATATTTTTATTTTACGTTTTTTATTTTCTCTCTTCTCTTTCTGGTCACGAATGATAAAAGAACGATCTATTTTGCAGATTCAAGGAGACAGAAAACATATTGGAAAGATCGTATGTACTTTTGTGATTTTGGATTGTTTTTTTATTTTTGCACCCTTTAACACACTTTTTATCTTTCTTTCTGTTTTTCACCAAAAAGCCTTCAGATTCTTTCCTCTTGTCGTGATGCATGAGCCGCGACTTACTGAATCGCATGCTACAATCAAACACTCGTTCGTTCCCTTGACTTCACCTTTTATAGCTGTTTTTATTACTTAATGTGGCATCTATTCGATAAAATGTTTTTATGTGTGTTTCCACCATTCTGTGTTTTTATGAATCTGGAGGTTTTCAAACGACAGTTAAAAAACTTGAGCTTCACAGTTTCACACCTATAGTTTTAGCATCATAGCCTAGTTGAGCTTGTAGTGTTTGGCGGCCCACTGCCGTTAAAGGAGCCATCAATCTACCGAAAAAGCCACCACAGCCCGAATTTCTCGATTTTCAGACTTTTGTATGCGTCCAGTTGAACAGTCAAGCTCCATTTTTATTTTCCCTGCAATATTGTTTGCATTTTTTATTATATCACGTTATGTCTTTGTTTGCTTGATCAATTAAAAAAAGTTCTCAACATTAATAAAGTTAATAAAGTTTACTCATTGTACTTTACCGATGAGAGCTTCAGAAGGTGAACTAGTTCATGGAGACGCTGCTTAAACCAATGCAACTGTAATCACGTCTTTTCAAAGATGATTTTTAAAATGTGTTACGTTATGTATGTGAAGAAAACGCAAACATCTTCTAAAGCTGCACTTAAAGTGACGCTTAAACTATTCCGTTCCTTTTACGTGTGTGGAGGCGTTTTTGGCAGGTTGAACGCTCCTTCGATGCCTGATTTCAGTTTGGCGTTGTGAAAACTCCATCGTAAAAAGGTCGTTTTTATGAAACCGCCCGATTTCGTTCGCGAATCTAATTAAAAGTTTACGAGAGGGAAAAAACTCGTCTGTGGTGGTTGCGTTGATGAGTCCCTCTGACGTCAAAACGACTTCAGAAAGGTCCGCCTTCGAAGTGTGTGTTGTCACTAACACACCTCTCTCCGAACAACAGGTGATAAAAAAATTAAACCACAGATAACAGCTCGCGTTTATTGTACATGGTCGAAAGAATCAAAAGTCGTTATCGGTGCTGGTAAACAAACGTATCGTTAACATTTGCTAATGCGACTCGGTAACGATATTTATAAATAATGGGAGGTCTGCTCCTATCGCTGGATATTATATCGATTTTATCCTGTGGTTTTGTTCGGCTCATCACGTACGATTTTATACGAAGAATGCCGGTGCGTCGAAAAAGGGCTTCAAAGGGCCACATTTGAAATATTAAAATTCTGACATCGTCTGGCACATTCTGATTTTGCGTTCGAGGCACTCGAGCTTCTGTTGCATGCAGTGATGCAATGTTTTGAGGCAACATGTTGTAAAATTATATAAACATAGGTAAACGGCAACGAGAACAAGCGATAGCAATCGATAAAAGTGTCGTAATCTCCCTCGTACAAATAATACACTTGAATTTTTTCACATGTAAAACAGAACGTTAAACAAAGCTTAAAATATTTACAGTAGAGAGCAGAGATTTCTGCTGATAAGCGTGTTGTGTTTTTCATGTTTTTGCTTGTTGGATTCGATGTCAACTAAAATTAGAAGGAGTCAACGGTCTCGCGTTAAAAATTGACGAGGGCTTTTCGGGTGGGCTGTCTTGACAAAGGAAATGTCCCGCAGGAACGAGTTGATTCAAAGTGAGCTGCTCTGAATATCGCATGGAAATTAACGGCTAGACCAGAAGCACATAAATCAATATCTACTGTACCAAATACTGATCTTAGATCATCCGATAAACTTATCCATCTTCATTATCAGCTACTTCTAAACGTTATGATAATGATTTCGTTTAACTAAAAGGCGATCTGTATGTTAAGAATTCTGTCAAAAATATACGTGTCCAAACATAATAACGACAATTTAATAAACCATATTGTTTATCGAAGAGACAGAAATTTTCGTTTAGTCGAATGTTGTCTGTTATTTTAAAATCGTCGAAAATGCTAATGGCGTCTTTGATGATTCGACATCACGTGCGACCCTTTGCTTCGTGATTTTCGTACTCTTTCCGCCCAATTCTAGTAACGCTCCTTCAATTACCTGGACCTCCATCTCGAATTTGTCGAAGTTTCAAAAAGAAACTAAATAAACGAAACATGAAAACGAATAAGAGCAATACATAATTAGTCGTGATAAGCTGTAGCTAGAGGAGCTGGTGACCCAACTGGCTCCACTTCCAATATTGGATCTATTTTGACAGTTAAATTAGACGTATGCCATTGCAACGTAGCAACCTAGTTAAACTTCCTGGATAAATATTATTGTCCCTCGTTAGTTCGGTGGGCAGCAATCCCAAACCGGACATCCAGATGATCATCCAGCATAATGCAAATTGGATTTATATTGGACGAAATGGTCCAGCACGGAGCAACGGACACATCAGCATCCGGCGTTGCATTAGCTCTGCCACAACATCGCCACCGCTCCTCTGCCCATTCCCTAATCTTCCATTTGAAACTTGAACATTGAATCGTCCCGCCCTTGTCGAATAATGGCGGAGGCGCCAGTCACGTCCGATTTCTCAATCTCTCCAGTTTCCATTCCAAGCGAAAAGGGTTGATTTTTGCCTCCCCTTCTATCTCCGCAATAATTTACCTTTAACCTTTCACATGCCAGAACGCGAATTAAGCAAAGGCGGAGTAATATCATAAAACCCAACAACTCGCCAAAAGCGTATATACTTTGAGTTCTCCGTCTTTGATCTTCGACGAAATGATCGCTTCATTATTGCACACCTAATACGCTGAAAACTGCGCGTTTCTCGTCACTGACGTCACCTCTAATAACAATAATCATTAATTGTCATTGCCGGCACCGGCAATAAACATGCAAAATGCGGTAATCGTGGCAGCTTAATTAGAATCAAGGTTCCCGCGCCAGTCCGGCCCTGCGAGCCGCGGTTTAGTGAATGGGGCGAGCCACAGGGGATGTCCCCACCCCTACCAACGCACCGAAGACAAACTCCGGTCCGTCAGTGTCGATTCGAACTCCGGAGCGTTCGAACTGAGCGCTCTCATCGATCATCCTGTCGTTCCTCTGATTTGTTTATGTCGTTTGTTGCATAATCGAGCCACAAACAAACACAGTCGCCGGGGACGGACGGGCCGACGGTCGGTTGTGCAGCGGTGGGATGGACGTCAGTGTCGTGTGAATCTTGTGCGTAACGTGTGCCGCGTTCAGTCCCCTGAAGGTGTGTCGTCGAAACGTCCAAAATCCAAAACGTCCCCAAATATAGACAGCTCGATCGATCTTCGCGCTTTTGGGGAAAAATATGGATTCGAATGGCTTTTGACGCGACGGCTGCTCTCGATCCGGAGAGGACGCGAAAGCAACTACTAGCTGGTTAAGGCGCATTTGAATTCAAGCGATGCTGGCCGGTGGGACTCGATGCCATCAAAATTTTTATTAACAGCGTAGTTTGACGTTTCTAACAGATACGAGATAATAGTTGTCACATAAACAGCGCGATTTAAAAGCGGGCTTTTCGTGCGTACAACTCGTAGTGTATTTCTAATGATATTGTCTAGGAAACGAGTCACGTGACGTCAACACTCTAAAAATAAGAAGGTTAAAGAGGATGAAGATAATTACTGTGTTTCGGCCGCGGCTACCCTGCAAGTAAACGTTGAGCTCTCTGTTTTAAGTAACATTTTTTTTCGGGCGCTTGACGTAGACACGCAAATTCGGAACAGGAACAAGGGAGAGAACGTTTGCGATTGTTCGTTTTGTCTTGTTCTTGATAGCGATTTTTACCGGTTGTGTTTTACTCGAGCTGGAAAATTAATCGAGGAATTTCTTTTCCTAAAAATAGAAAATCTCGCTGACTCGTAAAAATATCGAGTGTAATTGAATCGACGTTCGGAAGCTGCGATATTAACCTCTTCAGTGAAATTAAGTTGGAAGCACAAATTAGCAATTAGGGAATTTCTCGTTTTCGTCATAATAAGAAATATGACGTTAAGGGTGTTGCACTCGTTAAAATTTAATTGATGTACGCTTCAAGATTGATGGTGCTAATATTGAAACGGTGATCCATAATTAACATCTTTATTGCTTTTTGTACGCTCTTATGAATGACATTAATTATACTTGTTGTAATGTTATTTCAATAACTGCTGCTGCAATTTGTGATGTCAGACGTCAGCATTTGACGAAATCGGGTTTTGGTTTAATAACACACATTTTTTTTTTGAAAAATTACATAAATGTTCGAAAGTTTAGATTAAATTCTTTTTGGGAACTATTGATATGTTTCGTTATCTTTGACCTGAAAAATTTGGTAAATAGTAAGTATTACCAAATCCGTGTGGTGACATTTTTTCAAAGATCCAAAAAGGTGTTTTACGAAGAAATTAGGAAGCAAAAAAGAACCTGTTTTTCCATAAAAAAGAAACATATTTTGAAAATGAAACGAAACTTAGCGAGTACTTTTTTTTGTTGAAAAACACTTTATACGTATTATGAGAATTCAGAGCTTCGTTTAAACTGCGTATAACTCGTCCGTTTTTAATTTTAATCACGATCGCATAATTGATCTTTGTGCTGATCGTTTCTCCAATAAAAATAACACAAAAAAGTGCACACGACGCCATTGGCGAAATATCAGGCTGGCTCTATAAGATATCATCTACTGTTATCAAAGTGCAGCACTTAACTAAATAGGTACACCGATTCTAATCACTTTATCGAACGTTTCGTGAAAAATGAAAACAACTAAGCGGAGATTTGATGATTAAACGTGGACTCGTTTAAAATCCGATCATGCGAAGATCTGTGTACGATACCTGAAGCGCGTTCGCTAATAATTTTCCCCCTAAAAGTGAACTTCCCCCAGGGGATAAACCAGAAAACAATTTCCAAACAATTAATCTCTCTTAAAATCGAAAAGTCAACAATCCCTAGTTAATTAAG